TGGTGAGCCCACTTCAAAGTAATTTAATGAGGCTTCTTATCTTGTACTTCTGTTTTCTAGTGTCTTCTATCTTCTTTTACACAAAAGTGGGAACTTCTAAGTCATCAGTCTTTCCATGGATGGCAGAACAAGAGTGTAAGCAGTGGAACGGTGATGGAGCATTTCTTTAGGGTGAACAGAATAAAGATCCAGATTTGGCTTACTAAATGAATAATTTGCTAAGCTGTAGGTGCTCAGATGTACTGTGCTGAGCATCTACAATTAGATTATGTCACTATTTTTTGGCGTATGATGCCAAATCTATAGTGGAGAGTAATGAAATCCTTTATCCAAAGAAGAAGAATGGAGAGGTGTCCCAAAATGACAATTTCTGTCTTTTGGACACAGAGTTGAAATGATGAACAGTTTTTTGTCCTATAGAAAACTTCAATCATATGGAAACTGTTCTCTGGAAAATTCAGATGGATTTCTATACTCATTACGTCTAGACAGATTTGTCAGGGCACGTTGACACTGTTTCAGTGGTACGCTGCCACACCAGTGACCTACCCTTACTCACCTTTTGGTCTCTTTGTTGACGATAGTGCTGCAATTTGTAATTCTTCTCTACACTGGACCAGTAGAGAGTCACTGTTGCAAAAGCTGTGAGTTCAAATGATCAGGTCTGTTTGTCTTCTCAAGTGTGGAAAGTTGAACTGGAAACCCTAATTCATGTGGAGAAGTTGCCTGCTGTTGAATCCATAGGATGCAACTTATAACTACTAAAGAATTACAAGTGAATTGAGAGGCCTTCTGAGTGAATTGTAGATCCCTAATCAGACCCAGGTTCTCTCCCATCACAAGTCGAGTTTGATATGTATGGTTGGTTGGTACAGAAAATCTGAAAGAAATGGCAGGTCTAAGTGAAAATCCCAGCTGTTAATCATCATTTGCCTTGGCTATGTGTATATCCATTCATTAAAAGCATTTTTTAAAGTACATTTCAAATTTTCAACTTCTTTTATGTTTTATTACCTATGGAGGTTGGTTTGTGCTTGATCTGATGCATCTCTTGTGTATCTTGTATTTTAGCAGACATTTACTATTAAAGGAGCTGCTTAAAATGACTGGCAGGTTTGTGATAGAGGTTCCTTTCTGCAAGTGTGAATGTTTGGGCTGTTTCCACTTCCTGAATAACTTTACAAGCAAATGAGAGTCTCTCCTCTGAACTGAAAATTAATTGTAACTAAACTTTAGGGAACCCCCAGTGATGATAAACAAAAATAAACAAAAAATGCAAGTTGAGTAAACTCATGCTTTCTTTTGCTCATAGATAAACATCTCTGTTTAATTAGAATCTTTTCAATTGCACTGTTTATTCACCTGAGAGCGCTGTAGCACATTCTCCTATCTTCACCATAATTTGTTGTTTTCTTTCAAGCCACTGGTACCCTGTTCCAAGTAGAGATCTGGGAGGACTGCAGAGATTAGGAGGCCAGTACAGCACTATTTGATCATTGAAGGCAGTAGAAAAAGCTCACCGGGTGCTTTAACTTAACACCTTTAAAAAATTGCTAACTGTCACTGTGTAGCTGAGTAGATGTTTATATTTATTAGAACAAAACAGGAAGATGTAGTGGATGTAGTTAAATGTTCATTTTCATTTTGCCATATTGAGTATTTCTCATTGAACAAGAAAAGCCTACAACGCCAATAGACCAAAATGAAGTTTTGGAGTGCAAGCTACATCTTACAGTCCTTAATCAAGCAAAGCTCCTAGTAATTCAGATGGAAATCTTGCTGCAGGAAGGATCATTTTTTGGCTATAAAACATAAGAGCCACAGCAAAACATGAATAATTTTGACAGGATTTACTTACTCTCTTTTTTCTAAAAGACTTTTCTATTTGTGCTTGTGACAAAAAATCTCCTCCTTTTAGTACAGCCACAGAGCTTGCTTTAAAACCTACAAATTATTATTGGCCTGTTTTCAGCTGCTTCTCTTGACATCAGTGGGGAGATCTATCTCTCCCTGAAACACATTAAAACAGTGGATATGAATCTTACGAATTCTTCAAAACATGGGAGCAGCAGCTCCTACATCAGCAGGTACCCTGCTACCTCCATTCAGCAATTGGCGGAGGTATGGCTGTTTGAATAGGTGCCCTTCTTCTGTGCTGTTGTCTTCTGCTCCAAAGCATATATATTACTTCTAAAACATTCAGTCACATCAAGTTAAATCTAAACAAATGGAAAGCCTGTCAAGTCAAACTAAGAAGCAGATTCATTTTATTACAGAGTCAAAAAGAAATCAAATATTTGCTATAACTTTATATTCCCCGTGCAGAAAATTGCTTACTATTCAGGCATGATGTTTGTTTTTTTTCACTGTGCTTTCATACTGAAGGAGATGCAGAGGGTAACCCAGGACATCAGTAAGTGGCTTTTCTTGTAACGTTAGACTTTCATATAGCACGCATATGAGTAAAGCATTTGTGTGCAGCTCAGCATGAATAATCCTGCAAAGATGATCATACTTGGTTATTGATGGAAAGATGATATGGCTCCTCAGCTGCACAGAAGCAGCTCTCCCGATGGTTTGCATTATTTCATATAGAAGGCATCCAGACTATGTCGCTAGCAGACAGCTCTGCCTTATTAGGATGAGGCAATGTTCTTCTCACAGTCTGCACTTTCCTGTGTTACATAGGAGCCTGATGAATGGGTAGATGTTATACCAAACTGGCTCTCACTTTTTCATGCCAAACTGATTATACCGTTTCAACATAAAGCCCCTTTCCTTAAGGTGTATGTTGGCATTTTTTTGACTTTAAATATGTAATTCTCTTTCCTTCTGAAGGCATAATTATGTTCATTGCCATCTGTGGGTGAAAGCTGTATTCTTTACATTAAGTGCACATAAAATCCTAAAGCTCTGTGTGCAGAAGGGAGAAGCTCTGCCTGAACCTCTTCATGCCTCAATCTGCCAGCAGGGGATTTTTAATGTGGGAACTTCCTCAGGAGCTGTTGTAACATTATTAATCAATTGTTATTAACACTGCTCGGACCAATTAGTTTTGGGGCTTGAATGATACTGTAGAAGTAAACATAGATATAAAATATTGGACATTTCAACTTTGGCATTAGGCACATGTCTGGTTTTTTTCACAGCAATGAATTCTATACTTAAAAAAGCAGCAGCAGCAGAAACAGCTTCAAGGACACAAATTCCAGTCTCCTTGTTTCCTAAAGGAACTTAACATGATAAACATGACTCTTCACAAAACCGAGCTGTGATCTTCTCAGAGATCAAGTGTTCTCCTTGCTCCCTGCCCTCGTCACAAATCTCTATTTATAATAAAGATGTAATATCTTGGCTCCTGTCACTGTTGCTACTACAGTAGAATAAAGATGTCTTCACAACAGAGCAGAGCCCAGTGCTTTACGGAAGCGAGGGTGTTGTTCTCCATTCATGGACCGTGAAGCTACACTTAAAACATAGTATCTGCAGGGCAGCTGGTCACTCACAGCCTTCTGCAAGTCTGTGCAACAGGAACCTTGCCCTGGTGCAAGTACTGGAGTCTGACCATGGGTCAGTCCAGCCCAGAGAAGCAGATGTTCAGTGAGTATGAATCAGAAAACAGCACTGTTGAACTTTACTCTGATTTTCACCACCTGATAGTCTGGCCCATAAAGTCCAGGCAAGAAGGTATACTGATATTTGCCTTTAGTTTTAAATATTTAGTTTTGCTGCAGTTGTCAAATAACTTTTGTTTATTCTCTGGTCTAAATTTGCAAAGAAAGCAGGACTGTCTGAATTCTCAGCAAACAACTGAAAGTACTGTTCTACAACAGACTTAACTAGATAACTACTCCTTTAAAAAAAAAAAGAAGTCAAACAGTAGGCTACATTACTGCTTTGAACTTTTTCTGAAACAAGGTTTGTCAGGAATGGCTCTTTCCAGTAATGAATACAGTTAATTTAGGCTATTGCAGCACCACCTTAAGAGCAGCTCTGAGATCAGTGGTGAGGAGGGCAAGATTTGGAGTCCCACCATATTGAGTCCCGCTCGTTTTATATAAATCCCAAAAGAATAGTCAAACACGGAATCCTAGCTACTTCCTAAAGTGATTTAGTAATGCTTTCTGTTCCCTAAATTGCTGTTGCAGCCATCCCTAAATAAATAACAGAACAGAACAGGAAAATTCCTCTCAATCCTTCTAACTACTCTTTTCCATCTCCACAAAAAATAAACAAGCATTTCTTTAAAAATGCAGATATTCTCAAGTCTTAGAGACAAAGTATGTCACTGGAATAGAGTGAAGTTGAACTGATTTTTGAAGCCTTTATTGAAAAAAATCCAAAACCATATACAGAATGACTGGATTCCCAGTAAACCCTCTGGGGCAACCCATCACTGCTATAGCATTTCATTTCTTTTTCTGCAACAAACTGCTAGTTCCAGAAGGAAAATAATTCTCTTCTACACTCCCAAACCACTAGGAGATTCATTTCTCTTAAGGATTTACATCAGTGCTCTTATCTATAGTTTCTCTTACTTTAGAGCTTTTGTTTCTGTAACTTTCCCCAGGGACATTCCACAATACTTCCTGCTCTAGACTTTTACCAAAGCCAAAGAGAGCTGAAGTTACACCCATGACTTCCTTAGAGACAGATTCCAGAGAGAATGCATAATTTCTTGGTTTTTTAAGCTCACTGTAATGTACTCAAACTTTTTGAGCATTAGACCTTTTAACATGATCTAAATTTATACTGTCAGAAAGATGAACAGTATATGAGACCTCTATAACACACCTACTGTGTTACTCTCTGTTAAATACACTACAGAATGCAATGCCTCTCACCTGACTGAGATTTTATTTTATGTCATGGGCATGTGCTTTTAATTAGTAAAAGCTGAAAGAAGGCCTCAAGCAGGGGTGTTGTCCTGTAAATCATTAAACTCTTTTAAGTCTTGACCTGCAAAACAGGACAGGTTTAGACTGTTAACACTTCTACAGAGCCTCACTACCTTCTCTCTCAAGAATTACAGCCTTCAGGAAGAAAGAAGTGTATGGAAGTATACAAATTGAGGAAATCAGAGGTAAAAGGAACTGCTGACCTGAGCAAAGCATTATCTCTTTAAATATGTTTATTTTTATCAGCTACTAAAAACTTAGTTTCGCTATTATAAAATATTTGCAGTAACAATTACATTACTGTGGGAAAGTAATATAAGCACACAATTCTGCTTCCAGTTAAATTTGGAGCACAAATGAAAGCTTCTTATAGTCATTTTTACAATACTATCTGCTTAAGATATGTTTGAAAATTGCATAAGATCTTAAAGACCTTTTTTGCTGGGAGCTTTTGTATGAAAACAGAATCTTTGTTTTGAGTCCTCATTGTGGGTTTTCTCTTAGTTGTGTAAGGGAGACCTGACTTTTTTTCTTTTCTTAATGGAATGTTGGCTGGAAAACTGATTCGGTCTGAGGCTGTCCGTGTTGGATCTGAAAAGAACAGAGTAAAGCTATAGGAACTGAAGAAATCTCAAACAGTTGCTGAACTTCAAATGACAGAGAAGTTAGATCCGCCAGGAAGTGTATTCCCTGTAATATTTGCCTTCTTCAGGCTTGCAAAGGATTTGATATTCCTCCTCTGTTTTCCATAGAGCTGTGTGTGAGCTGTATCACCGAAAGTGTTTTGTAAGAGACAAGAAGGTTTCCTGAGGGTGATGTTGGAGGGGGTGGAAGGTCCACTGTAAATAGGTTTACATCTAATCTTGCTTCCATTGGCTTTAATGAAAGTTGTGACTATTAGGGTTGACAAATGACAATAGTATTCCTAACATAACTGAAGTCAAAGCATTTAAAGATATAAAAACCTGAAGGTCACTGAATAATAAAGAAAAACAGTCTGTAGGTATCTAGCCTAAGATAGATATGTGATCCTACCTATTCATGTTTATGCTAAGTATCCAAATTCCATAAATCTTAGGTAACCTTATTGTCGCATAGCAGCTTAACAGATTTCCTCAAACAAAGGTTTTCAAATCTGGAAACACCTCCAGAATGGCCAGTTACAAACAGTCAGCTTTGGTCAAGTTCATCTCTGATGTGTTTTCTACCAATTCAGATGCCTGGCTTCGCAGCTTTTCAAATTTCACGGCCGAGAGCAAAAGTCAAATTTGTTTGTTATTAATAGTACCTCGCCTATTGTGTAAAATGCAGACAAAACTAATGCCTCATAGGCAGTAAGGTGAATGTTTGTTTCTGTCCCTGTGTAGCTGTGGTTCTTGCAATAGGGCTTGCTGTGATGGAAGATCTCGGACACTAAAGCGGCGCCCCAGCACTAACTCTTAAATAGTTTGGTTACAGTCTGGTCCCGTCCCATTCCTTGAATGGACATCTGCCTATTGGGATTGGATCCAGCTGCCAAAATCCATCTAGGTCCCCTGTGTCTGAACAGTGACTGATGGCTATTTTGTAAATCCTGGGTGTATAAATGCATTGTCAGACATTTCCTGGCATCATGGGACTCTGCAGTTCAGCTCTTATAATGCGGAGGCATGCCAGAGTCCATGAGCCTGCCTGGGCTTGCCATAATATCTTAATCAAGTGATGTCCATCTAATCCATGCCACTTGGCTGATAAAGCCATTAGCTGGCTTCTGTCTTAGCCTAATGCCCAACAAAGATGGGAACACAAAAAGTAGAGAGAATCATTATGTCAGCACTTTGGAGCTGCTGTGATATGAGATGCATGCTACTACCCTGCTGCAAAGGCTGATGGAGCTCTGTTCCAGTACACATCCGTCAGGGGAAGAGAAAAATAACATCAATAGTGCTAGTGCTGGCTGCCAACTTGAGAAATCCACTGAATGCCTGCTCACCTTCACTTCCCTCCAACACGTGAACTGGGGTGGTAAGGGAAACAATTTACAAGGCAATAACTTTTAATTGCTGTCACTGATTAACTGCCACAAAACTAGAGGCAGAACAAAAGCTCATCTGTTATTCTTACAAGACACAAGTGATCTTAACCATTTATTTGGCCCTACAGTGCGTGAAAAAGAGTCAGTAATGAAGATTTATCTGGAATTTTCTGCTTGTCTGAACAGATAGCTAGTTTAAAAAAAAAAATCAACACTTCCAAACAAAACAAGGTAGGGGTTTCTTTCATTTTCTTAAAAAACAAACAAAGAAAAAGACCTTTGGCTTTATGAAATGAAACACCTAGAGAGGTGGGAAGGCAGCTCTTGCAGCCTTTCTTCATAGGAGAGGTGCTCCAGCCCTCTAATCATCTTGGTAGCCCTCCGCTGGACTCTCTCCAGGAGTGCCATGTCTCTCTTGTACTGGGGAGCCCAGAACTGGACACAGTACTCCAGGTGAGGCCTCCCCAGGGCTGAGCAGAGGGGCAGGATCACCTCCCTCCACCTGCTGGCAACACTCTGCCTAATGCACCCCAGGAGACCATTGGCCTTCTTGGCCACAAGGGCACACTGCTGGCTCATGTTTAACTTGTTGTCCCCCAGCACTCCCAGGTCCTTCTCTGCAGAGCTACTTTCCAGCAGGTCAACCCCCAGCCTGTACTGGTGCATGGGATTATTTCTTCCCAGGTGCAGGACCTTGCACTTGCCTTTGTTGAACTTCATGAGGTTCCTCTTTGCCCACCTGCAGGAGTCCTTGCCCAGCTCTCCCTTCCTGCTAGCAGCAAGCACCGTCTAGTTCCTCGGGGGTCCCCAGAAAGTCTCCACAACTTCCAACAAGGCCCACAAAAGGCCCAGGCAGAGCCCAGACACTGCTGCGCAAACTGCTGCGTCTGTTCGCTGCCTCTGTTGGCTGCGCTCTGGGAGCTGCGCTCTAGGCCTGGCTCTTATATAGGCCTCTGCCTAGCAGTGACTCACAAGGGTGCTTGACCCACCCAATCAGGAGCCACCTGAAACAAAAGCCCCAACTCCCTCTGACCAGGGCAGCCCAGAGAGCTCGTTAGCAGCAGCCCCACCTAGCTAGAACTTCCCAGGAGAAGTTAAGTCAAGGTCCCCTGCAGGAGTCCTTGCCCAGCTCTCCCTTCCTGCTAGCAGCAAGCACCGTCTAGTTCCTCGGGGGTCCCCAGAAAGTCTCCACAACTTCCAACAAGGCCCACAAAAGGCCCAGGCAGAGCCCAGACACTGCTGCGCAAACTGCTGCGTCTGTTCGCTGCCTCTGTTGGCTGCGCTCTGGGAGCTGCGCTCTAGGCCTGGCTCTTATATAGGCCTCTGCCTAGCAGTGACTCACAAGGGTGCTTGACCCACCCAATCAGGAGCCACCTGAAACAAAAGCCCCAACTCCCTCTGACCAGGGCAGCCCAGAGAGCTCGTTAGCAGCAGCCCCACCTAGCTAGAACTTCCCAGGAGAAGTTAAGTCAAGGTCCCCTGCAGGAGTCCTTGCCCAGCTCTCCCTTCCTGCTAGCAGCAAGCACCGTCTAGTTCCTCGGGGGTCCCCAGAAAGTCTCCACAACTTCCAACAAGGCCCACAAAAGGCCCAGGCAGAGCCCAGACACTGCTGCGCAAACTGCTGCGTCTGTTCGCTGCCTCTGTTGGCTGCGCTCTGGGAGCTGCGCTCTAGGCCTGGCTCTTATATAGGCCTCTGCCTAGCAGTGACTCACAAGGGTGCTTGACCCACCCAATCAGGAGCCACCTGAAACAAAAGCCCCAACTCCCTCTGACCAGGGCAGCCCAGAGAGCTCGTTAGCAGCAGCCCCACCTAGCTAGAACTTCCCAGGAGAAGTTAAGTCAAGGTCCCCTGCAGGAGTCCTTGCCCAGCTCTCCCTTCCTGCTAGCAGCAAGCACCGTCTAGTTCCTCGGGGGTCCCCAGAAAGTCTCCACAACTTCCAACAAGGCCCACAAAAGGCCCAGGCAGAGCCCAGACACTGCTGCGCAAACTGCTGCGTCTGTTCGCTGCCTCTGTTGGCTGCGCTCTGGGAGCTGCGCTCTAGGCCTGGCTCTTATATAGGCCTCTGCCTAGCAGTGACTCACAAGGGTGCTTGACCCACCCAATCAGGAGCCACCTGAAACAAAAGCCCCAACTCCCTCTGACCAGGGCAGCCCAGAGAGCTCGTTAGCAGCAGCCCCACCTAGCTAGAACTTCCCAGGAGAAGTTAAGTCAAGGTCCCCTGCAGGAGTCCTTGCCCAGCTCTCCCTTCCTGCTAGCAGCAAGCACCGTCTAGTTCCTCGGGGGTCCCCAGAAAGTCTCCACAACTTCCAACAAGGCCCACAAAAGGCCCAGGCAGAGCCCAGACACTGCTGCGCAAACTGCTGCGTCTGTTCGCTGCCTCTGTTGGCTGCGCTCTGGGAGCTGCGCTCTAGGCCTGGCTCTTATATAGGCCTCTGCCTAGCAGTGACTCACAAGGGTGCTTGACCCACCCAATCAGGAGCCACCTGAAACAAAAGCCCCAACTCCCTCTGACCAGGGCAGCCCAGAGAGCTCGTTAGCAGCAGCCCCACCTAGCTAGAACTTCCCAGGAGAAGTTAAGTCAAGGTCCCCTGCAGGAGTCCTTGCCCAGCTCTCCCTTCCTGCTAGCAGCAAGCACCGTCTAGTTCCTCGGGGGTCCCCAGAAAGTCTCCACAACTTCCAACAAGGCCCACAAAAGGCCCAGGCAGAGCCCAGACACTGCTGCGCAAACTGCTGCGTCTGTTCGCTGCCTCTGTTGGCTGCGCTCTGGGAGCTGCGCTCTAGGCCTGGCTCTTATATAGGCCTCTGCCTAGCAGTGACTCACAAGGGTGCTTGACCCACCCAATCAGGAGCCACCTGAAACAAAAGCCCCAACTCCCTCTGACCAGGGCAGCCCAGAGAGCTCGTTAGCAGCAGCCCCACCTAGCTAGAACTTCCCAGGAGAAGTTAAGTCAAGGTCCCCTGCAGGAGTCCTTGCCCAGCTCTCCCTTCCTGCTAGCAGCAAGCACCGTCTAGTTCCTCGGGGGTCCCCAGAAAGTCTCCACAACTTCCAACAAGGCCCACAAAAGGCCCAGGCAGAGCCCAGACACTGCTGCGCAAACTGCTGCGTCTGTTCGCTGCCTCTGTTGGCTGCGCTCTGGGAGCTGCGCTCTAGGCCTGGCTCTTATATAGGC